ACTAAGGATTAAATTCCTTAACGATTATTGCATCTGGAACGTCAATTACAGAAGGACGAATCTTACTCTTTATTCACGATTGACCTACAGAATTGCATTTGAAGAGAAAGCAGAATTCCAGCGAAATAATTCTACCCTTACACCAGGAACTCGTTGCACGCCAATAGTTATCATAATTGCAAGATGATTGAACACTTTTGTCTTCTTTCCGAACAAACATCCTACCCTTTTCTCGAACCGTGTAATGATACGTGCTGGGTAAACGGTTCTGAGTAGCGCAGAAAGGGGAAAGTGCGAGCTGCACTTTGTTAGTTGGACCTGTCGGAAGAGAATGACTCGCGAGTGAAATGACCTAAGGCAGACAGGCGAAGGTTAAGGACAACTTTCACCTAAAACCTGCGGGCGAAGGCTGGACAAGGCCGTTCGAAACAGGAGCCAGATTACACAGAAAAGGATACCACTATGACTCCACGAAACTTGAAACTTTGTGTCTGACCATATAAAATTCTACTTATAGCTTGGTTAATGTCGTTTAAGGATCTAGAAAATTATCCGGAATTTATTTTAATTATAGAAACTGCATAATAAGGAGTTTTCAATGTATGCAATNCTTACTACCATTTTCAAGTGTTGCCTATGAGGAAAATGTATCATTATCCTAAGCTGTACAGGAAGACCAGCGATCCTTAGAAATATTGTCATAAGCAATATTAAGCGATATATTAAAATCGCTAGAGTCAACAGTCGTAAGAGACTTTCTAAGCTACCAAGGATCACCGACGGGGGATGGAAAATGAGCGACTGGGCGAATTCCTCGACGCGGACGTGCTCGGACGACCTCCAGGCGCCGTTTCGCCGGTTGCTGATTGAAATTTCTCTCACGGGATTGCATCTGTTATCTAATACAGAGTTTTTCATCCGGGATCTTAATTCCCTCTCACAAAACAAACGTTGAATGTAATAGAAAGTCGAAGCCAGTGAGAGAGACGATATTTTAATTCTATAGGGAGATGGAAAAATTCATATAAGATGGATAGAAAAATAGAATCAATGGTTTCATCCTATTCACTGGAGAATAGGAGTGGATTCGAAACGTCGATGGGAAAATGAAACCACTTGGGAATGTTCGGTATTAGTAGAGATGCAGGAAAGTTCTTTACCTTTTCGTTGCTCCAGTTTCCGTGGGAATCGGATTCCAGTGTCGCTGTCACGGCTGCCAGTAATAAAACCACTGGCACCTGCAATCACAATAGCTAATTTGTACTGTAAATCCTTCTCACTATACTTAAATCCAGAATTAAAAGAAACAAGCATCAAACATGGATAAACAACTTTGTACTGTTATAATAATCACTCGATTTCCTCTATTTAATTTGATCATCATAACATAGGTCATGTTAATCGTGCAATTTTCTGGGCTGTTGAATTTGCTGTTAGAGAAATGATCTAAACATTTTTAATAGGAGTAAAAGGAAGTGTAGTGTGTGTGATGTTTGATGATGGAGAAAAACTGGGAACACTGGGAAAAATTGCAAATTATGAAGAGAAGAATGAAGAGTATAATAG